TGCTCTTGCATTTCTGCACTGTACTGCGGTTACTTGTATTTTTTTTTTATTTTACGTCCATCAACAGCAGGCAACTAACAGCCAACAATAGTATCGCCTAATCCATCTTCCGCCATGCTATGGCTGCATAGGTGGCTTGCTATTGCCTCTTCTCCCTTTAACCATTTGCTACAATCTTTTGTCGTCGTCGTTGCAACGTTTGTTGGTAATGAGCGATAACTCGTTCAAATATTTAATCTCCTTTAAAGGTGTCATAATAGCTATGTCTGTTTTAATGACGGTTTCTTCTCGAATACGAATCTGTTAACTTTAACTCCTTTATTAAACTGAATTTATGTTTATAAGACCTTCATCAACTGTAACTGCGATTCTGGCCGAGTCTATAAAGCATGCTAGTTATTTCTTTTTTTGTCAACTGAACCCAAGTCCCTCTCTTTCTGGTCTTTCTTTCCATCTTGCGCTTACCCCTTCAAATCCCTATATATGTATATAATTTTTTTTGCTGCACAGTCGTGTGGATATGGTCCAAGTCAATGTTTAGCCCTCGGAGTGTACGGGCGAGGGACGTACTGTTTTTTGGCAGTTTCTGCAGCCTACTGATCTCTCGACGTATAGCCTTATTCAGTGTACGTACATTGCTCGCGCATTTTCTCGGTCTGATGAGGCGATGAAAATGACGTTGAGCAATACCATCAGCTCCGTCAGAATTGGGAAAGACCTTTGCGAGCCGTTAGCCACCAAACGGGGTTTCAAACAGCGCGACTCCCTTTCATGTGACTTCTTTAATCTGATGTTGGAGAAGATAATAGGAACTGCAGAACTGAACCGCTCAGGAACAATTTACTACAAGATCAGTGAGTAAAGTATTGTCCGGAGGAGCAGTACATAGAATGCATTTAGGCGTCCGATGTTAGTAGTCGCGCCTAAAGAGTGAGTTTAGGATGGCTTACCAACGTCTATCCTGAGCATTCATCCAGTTAAGGCTCACAACTTTTGACGCACAGATATGCGGCAAATCAACAACAACAACAACAAAAATGTATGGAACGAATTCAAACCAGCTGATTTTTGACCAATCAAATTAACCCGTTTTGTTTGCGGCACCGTTTTCATTGTGCCGCCTCGCCATGTTCTGTGCGTTTTGTCAGTCAATCCATCCAGGCATCGCTGTGACGCAGAAAAGAGTTTCTATCTGGTGGGGCTCTACTTTTCCAATCGCTCAGTTGGACCTCGTATACGTCGCATTATATCGACTTGGGTGAAGCAGTTGGAGCGTATGATATTTGCATTATATCGACTTTGTCACCTTCTCGCGGATTTTGCTGGCAATTGAACAGCCATGAAGAACAACGCGCTTAGGTATAACAGTGGAGGAAAAATTGCCGAGGTCAAATTTGCCTTAGTATCAGGTTTCGATACGCGTATTTGTTTTCGATACCTACTCAGTACTTGGTTCAAAAGTATCGAACGAAAAGTATCGAGTACATACTGATACAAAACAATGGCCACTTTCTGGGAAATGACGATCAAGAACTTAATGCACAAGCGTGGACTTATGCCCCCGAAACTAAAGCTGGAACTCCATAGGCAAGCGTATGCGTGCATATGCGAGATCCGTTGACAAGCGGTTACGTGCGTAAAAACTGAGCAACTCCATAGTATGCGCTTGCACGCGTTTGTCAGTTGACATTTCGATAAGTAGATGCAGCATTCATACACATTTTTATACATATTTAGTTTAGTATCGACCATACCTTTTGTTCTCGGTCCCTGCTTAATAACAATAATAATAATAATAATAATATATTAGCGCTTACACAATGGGCCGTATGCACAAAAATTTAGCCATTGCCTTTTCTTAAAATTTCATATCATTTACTCGATTTGTTCAAATGAATTTAAGTGAAAGGTATGAAATTTTAAGAAAATGCAATGGCTAAGTTTTTATGCATACGGCCCAATATGTGTATGTTTGGCCGAGCTTCTTCTCCAATTTGTGTCGCACGCCTTACTGTTTTTACACAAAAAACTTTTTTTAACCTACATCCAAAAAAGGAACTTCCGCCATCAGTTCGACGGAATATTTTTTTTTATGTATGTTACCGCATAACTTTGGACCACGTCAACCGATTTCGATAATTTTTCTTGCATCGGAAAGGTAGTGTCTCAGAGGTGGTCCCATACTAATTTGGTTTAGATCAGATCATTGGATCATGAAATATATATATATGCATATATACACATATATATATTTTTTATATGAGAATTGAAGTCGGGTTTTTTTCTAAAAATTACTTGTTTATATATTTTTTTCGATGTTACTTTGACCAGGGCTTGAAACCAAACCGCGAACCCTGCTTAATTCTTTTAAATATGGACCCCTATATATAAAAATATGAAATTAATTTAGACTTTTGAGTGATTTTTTTTTCATTGTTCCTTTTTATTGTTTTTAAAGACAATGAGGTTGTTCACGCTTGACTGGTTATCAGGTTATGTGGTTATATTTTTTTTTCAGTTTACAACAATAAAATACACGACACAATAATATTTTTTAACCAGATAACCTGATAACTAGGCAAGTGTGAACAACCACAACAATTTTCTATTTCTATATATACATATCTGTATACATCGATGGTCCTCTGCAATAACGACGCAGTTCAAATTTCAAAAAACAAAGTCCTTTAATCTTAACTTTAGTAAGGATTACTACAGTAAGTAGTAAGTATTAGACATGGATTACTCAATGATTAGGGTCATAAGCCACGTACCAATAATGAGTTTTTATTTTCTGAACTTTGAATTGTGTAGTTATTGCCGAGAGCTATAGATATAGATGTAAATATATTTTTTCTACTAGATTATATCCACCGATTGTTTAACTTTTCCATGTTTATAAATCTATTGCACCACCCCAGTTTTACTACTAATTTTAATAATCTATACGCTTGTGGTATTTACCGTGAATTATTTTTACTTATTCTCGGACTTTTAGCTTCTTGGTCGGCATTGTTATCCGATTTCTCTCGGGCTTGTTCAAATAGACTGCTTTCTCGTTTCCACAAATCCTTCAATTCATTTGTCCAACCTAATACGTCGGCCATTTGCCATACAGCATCGTCACAGTCACCTAAAAACGTTATATCGCGTTTCTTGTCCCGACCCGAAAATTTATCAATAGCAACTCTGTTTATAAGCACGCGTATACAATTCGGTTTAACGTTAGCAACCAATGAAGCGAAGGGATACACTTCCAAAGATGTACCCATAATAATCAAAAGGTCGCAATCGTCAAAATCTTCCAGGGGCTTGGTGTAAAAATGATCTGGCATATTTTCGCCGAAAAAAACTATATCCGGTTTAACAATACCATTACACTCTTCGCATACTGGCAAAACGTCACCAAATATTTTTTCCTTCATCCATTCTTTCGTATAAAATTTGTTGCAGTCGACGCAATGGTTTGTATGAAATGTGCCATGTGCCTCGACCAATTTCTCTTCTGGTATACCTGCTAAACGCTCTAGACAGTCAATATTCTGCGTATAATGCCGGGTTAACAACTTTTTATCATGTAATAAACGTATAAAATAATGCGCCGGTGATGGGATATAATGTCCAGGATAAAGTTCTTTGGCCAAAGTAAAAAAGGGCTTTGGATTATCCATGAAGTAATCCAATTCAAATATATCGGTCGGATGCGGTAAATTATATTTTTGCAAGTTGTCATACAGGCCCGAACCAGGTGAGCGAAAATCCGGTATGCCAGAAGCTAAAATTATACATATGTATGTATAAGAGAAATACATTCGTTATTTTTCTATTTTGCCTGATTCACACCTGCTAAATGCAACTTACAAGTAGATATTCCGGCACCAACCATGGTAATAATTCTTTTAAATCCATTGTCTTTCCAATGTTTTAGGAAGCTTTCAAAAGTTAAATCTTCCAAGACCTATAAAATGAAACAAATTTATTCATACGTATGTACATACATATGTATGTAGTATATATATTATGTAAGCCAAAGTTTATAAAGGAATTTTATTGCTAGTTTTACATACCTGGCCGGATTGTTGTGCCAGCAGGTTGTCACTAGCAGCATGCAGAGTGAGCCTAGAGAAGAGGCTGTTTAAGTTCGTCCGAATGGATTCCAATCTTTCTAAAAAATAAATGCAGTAATGAATACACATATTTTAAATAATTGCACTACACTCAAAGAGATGCAAAATATTGTAGCTAGGTGATAGCCTTAAATACGAACAACTGAAAATCTCGAAAGTATTT